ATCACCTTCTCCTCACTACCCTTCCCAACCTCTGGTAACCATCATTGTATTCTCTATCTCCATGAGATCAACTGTTTTTAATATTTAACTCCCACATATGAATGAGAACATGTGAAATTTGTCTTTCTGTGCTTGGCTTATTTCACTTAACATAATGTTCTCCAGTTCTATACACATTGTTGCAAATGGCAGGATTTCATTGTTTTTTGTGGCCATATAATATTCCATTGCATATATGTACCACAATTTTTTAATCCATTCATCCATTGATGGACACTTAGGTTGATTTCATATCTTGGCTATTGTGAATAGTGTTGCAGTAAACATAGGAGTGCAGATATCTTTTCAATATACTGAATTCCCTTCTTATGGATTATATACCTAGCAGTGGGATTTCTGGGTCATATGGTAGTGCTATTTTTAGTTTTTTGAGGAACCTCCATACTGTTTTCCATAGTGTTTGCACTAATTTACATTCCCACCAACAGTGTATGAGGATTTCCCTTTCTTGATGTGTTCACCAGCATTTGTTATTGCCTGTCTTTTTGATAAAAGCCATTTTAACTGGGGTGAGATGATACCTCATTGTAGTTTTGATTTGCATTTCTCTGCTGACTAATGATATTGAGCATTTTTTCATATACCCATTGGCCATTTCTAGGTCTTCTTTTGAGAAATGTCTATTCAGATCCTTTGCCCATTTTTAATAGGATTATTTTATTTTTTCATATTGAGTTGTTGGAGCTCCTTATATATTCTAGTTATTAATTTCTTGTCAGATTAATTTCTTATATTTTCAAATATTTTATCCCATTCTGTGGGTTGTCTCTTTGCTTTGTTGATTGTTTCCTTTTGCTGTGAACAAGCTTTAGCTTGATATGATCCCATTAGTCCAATTTTGCATTGGCTGCTTGTGCTTTGGGGGTATTATTCAAGAAGTTCTTGCCTAGACCAATGTCCTGAAGTATTTCACCAATGTTTTCTTTCAGTAGTTTCATAGTTTCAGGTCTTAGATATAAGTCTTTAATCCATTTTGATTTGATTTTTATAGATGGCGAGAGATAAGGGTCTAGTTTCATTCTTCTGCATATGGATATCCAGTTTTCCGAGCACCATTTATTAAAGAGACTGTCCTTTTCCCACTGTATGTTCTTGGCACTTTAACCAAAGATAAGTTTACTATAGATGTGTGGACTTATTTCTGGATTCTCTACTCTGTTCCATTGGTCTCTGTGCCTGTTTTCATGCCAGTACCATGCTGTTTCGGTTACTACCACTCTGTGGTATAATTTGAAGCCAGGGACGTGATTCCTCCAGTTTTGCTCCTTTGCTTGGGATGGCTTTGGCTGTTTTGGCTGTGGTTCCACATAATTTTAGGATTATTTTTTCTATTTCTGTGAAGAATGTCATTGACATTTTGAAGGAGATTGCATTGAATCTGTAGATTTCTGTGAGTAGTATGTACATTTTGACAAGATTGATTCTTCTAATCCATGAGCATGGAATATCTTTCCCTTTTTTGTGTCTCCTGTTATGGTATATTTTTCATGTAAAAAAAATTTAAGGTAAATGTAATCAAGGTTCTGCCTACAAGCACTAGTTCTTATGAAATATGAAGGATAGAGTGCATGTTAACTAATAAAATGAGAACACAATAAAGCAAAAGCAGAATGTGGAAATGCTAGAGGAAAAATTGTACATATTTGTATTAAATGATATAATGTAGCATCAAGAATAATGAAATCCTTAAGAATAAACTTAATTAAGAAGGTAATATACTGTCTACGACCATGCCGCCCTGAGCGTGCCCGATCCCGTCTGACCTCGGAAGAAGGTAATATACTGAAAAGTACAAAGAAATTCCTGGAATAAATTAAAGAAAACACAAATAAATGAAAAGATATCCCTTGTTCATGAATTGGAAGACTTAATATCATTAAATTGTCCATACTACATAACATAATCTAAAGACTCAAGGTAATCCCTATTAATTTACCAATGGCATGTTTTGCAAAAATAGAAAAAACATTCTAAAATTTATATGGAACCATAATGAATCCTGAATAGCCAAAGCTATGAAGTTGGATTCTTCTTTTATATCATATATAAAAATCAACTCAATATCAATTAAGTTTATTAACTTAAAAGATAAACCTGAAATTGTAAAACATAGGGGAGCATCTTGATTTTGGTCTTGGCAGTTATTTCTTGCATGTGACACCAAAAGCACAAACAACAAATACAAAAATAGACTAGTGGGACTACATCAGACTAAAAAAAGCTTTGGACAGAAATGAATCAATCGACAGAGTTAAAAGCTGAACAGAATGGGAGAAAATATTTGCAAACCATTTATCTGATAATGAGTTAATAACCAAAAAATATATAAGAAAATCCTACAACTCAATAACAACAACAAAAAGAACCCCAAGTAACCCAATTAAAAATGTATAAAGGAATAGAGATTTCTCCAAAGAAAACATACAGATCCCCAAAAGGTGTATTAGATACTCAAAAATCACTAATCATCATGGAAATGAAATATTAATATAAATCAAAGCAACAGTAAGATATCACCATATAGGTTAGGTTCACCAATACAAAACACACACAAATACACACACCTACACACAACAACAACTCAAAAAACAGAAACAGAAAAAAGTGCTAGTGAGGATGTAGACAGACTGGAGCTCTTGTAGACTGTTGGTAGAAATGTTAAATGGCAAGCTTCTGTGAGAAACAGCATGGAGTCTCCCCAACAAATTAAAAATATTGCTGTTACATAATCCAGTAATGTTTACTTTTAGGTATTTATCCTAAGATGTATTCGGATCTCAAAGAGATATTTGTACTCCCATATTCATTGCAAAATTATTCACAGTATCCAAGAGTTCCAGGGAGTTTTGGAAGTCACTGTTCATAAATGGTTTAAAGCCATGGGACAGAATGACAGCATATAGTATGAGTGGAGCAGGGAAGGCTGGCTTGAAGCTCAGTTCTGGGGATTTTAACATTTATAAGTTGGAAAAAGGAAGT